TGATATCGATGAGTGAGAGATGGAACAGAGATAATAGTGTATTTATATTGTATATCCAGAATGCTATATTATCATTATTTTATTATTGAAACATTTTAAAATATTAATACAACGGGGATAAGTCAAGTCGGAATTATCTTTCTATTCTGGAATTAAACCAAAAATAAGGCGATAACTCAAACCACAAATATATAAAAAAAAAAATGATAGSAAATTTTATTATAACACATCTTATAATCAAATTTTATTTTATTATAAAAAATGCTTTTTAAACATACACAGGTATTTTTTAGAAAATTTACTTTTAGGGTTATCACTGCAGTGCAAAATGTCAAAAAATTACTTCTGCATCTCTAAATTTAGATGACTATATATTGTCAGGAAAACTTCAAATATTTCGTTTTACACAATTTAAAGTAATTTTTAAAAATTAACAATTTTGAGGAAAAAATATATTTTCACTATTTTTATCGTTTTTAAAATGTATGTTTGTACATTGAAATATGCATATTATAAAAAACTAATCAATCGTCCGATTTTTATTCAATAACATTTTCTGAAAAAATATTTTGTTTTAGATAAATTTGAAACATAATATGATTGCAGTCATTCAAAAATGTAATAACTTAAAAATTATTAATGAAAAAAAATAAAATAGTTTTGTAATGAAAAATTATTTTCAGTCATTAAAATGAGAATGAACAGCTAAAATTCATATACCTAGGTAACTTCGAAAAATTTTGATTTTTATAATAATAGTAACCTCTTACAACGCTATGCATAATACAATTGAATGAATTGCTTATAATATTATTGTGTTTGTAACTAAAACTGATATCTTTGCTTCTAAGGTGTTGAAAATTAAAATAAATAATTCATCATTAATTAAAAAACAAAACTTTATTATAAATGTATAAGTAGGTACCAACTGCATTCTCCGCCTTTAAAATATATTAAATTGTTATTGTACTTTTCTAGGAGAAATTCGATTTAAGTTTGTACATCTCAACAATCTTGTAAATGAGAATATTTTTAAACTTTTAGAACTTACAGTAGGTACCGGTAAATTAAAAAAAAAATGTTATAAGTYATAACCTTCAAAACCACTAATTTTCTGTTGACTATATATTACGATAAACTTATAATATATGTTTGTACTGTTTGTAGACATTTCTTTATGGMTGTACAAAATAAGTACTTGTAAAAAAAAACACGATTTCACTGGATCATTATTATTTTCTGAAAGTTCCGAGAGATTCAAATAATTGTCATTTAAACGGCTTATTAGTTTAAGCGTTAAAASAAAAGTATAAATAATTATTCACCATACGATTATGAGAATATTATATATTTCAGGCATCAACTATGTGGTTATTAAACGGCATTAATTGCTATAGTTATTTATTCATCTAATTCATAATTTTTAGAATATTACAGTATTGTAATAGACTGCTTTTTGGATTTATAATTAAAAACCATTCTGTGATACAGACCGGGCGTGGTTGCGGAACTGTTTTATCGGACGAAAACTCCGGATAGAGAGGACTAAAGAATCTTTGGACGGATATTTTTGCTGCAGATCGCTGATCGATGAATTTTTCGGCGTCCGCGATCCTCTCGGAGATGACGTTCAGACGGCGATGCGAAAAACGTTAGTATACACACTGTGTAATATCATTATTGAGATAGCTCAAACCACTAAGGAACTCGGAAGTATGATTGTACGAGGTAGCGTTTTATTTTCTTTGGAAATCCTGTGAAACGATGTGTTGGTGGGAGGGGGGGAGGTGAAATGAACGATTTGAGAAAAAAAAAWCGTACGATTTGTGTTTGTCATTAATCTCATGGTTCGCGTTGCTCGTGCGAACTTCAATACAGGTGGTTTGGGTTTTCGAGCAATTTGACGGACGARGGTTACCAGGTCATAGTGACGAAAAACCTCACCGACGAAGATGTTCCTGGCAGGTATTTAGATCAGTGGACTAAATACTTTTACATGTGCATCGACTGGAACTTGAAGCGGGAGACGGCGAACGGTGTGATCATCATTTACGACATGGCCACGACGAACAAAAACGAATTACTCACTCAAGTGACACCGAATTTCCTCAGGAAATCCTTGCAGTGTTCGGTGAGTATCATTTAAAGTATACGCGTAGGCATAGTGTTTAAGTATATCTGCAGGTGTGGCCGATCCGAGGATATCATCGTTTAAAAATGGCTCGATAAAAAATAACGTGGAAATGTGGAAATGTGCAAATAATATTAGATAGTAGATACTCCGAAAAAGTTGTTTCCGTATTTCTTAAGAATAAAATAATTATAATTTATTAATTGGTATTCAATAAAAAAATATCACACTATACTTTGATGGTTTTATGACTCAGTCAGTATGAGACTTATCTAGATATTTCATCTAGATAATATTTATTTATCTTTTACATTGTCTAGATGAACATTGAAAATGTGAATAGATATCTAAGGGTTGTCTAGGATAAAAAAAATCGTTAACTTTTTATCAATTACCTAGATAATATATTAAGTAAACTGAATTTGTTTTTTTTTTTTTGAGCCCCATGTATGTATGCATGCAAGTTAATATTTTGGTCTATGGAGCCTATTTTATAAATGTCAAATATAATAATAACAGGATAAACAAAAATTTAAGAAAGTGATCATAACATAGAACTATCTAGCTTATTATAACATGAAAAACCTGATTCAACTTCAAAGTTAATCTATTTTTTTTTATTTTTTTTTTTACCTAGATAAATTTTGTTTGCATTTTATCTTATCTGAAATAATTAAAATATATGTCATCTTATTTTAATCTGTATCACCTTCGAGCTATAATCATTTATCTATATCTAGATAWTTTTTCTCAACACTGAGTCGCCGAGGTGTAAGATAATATTTATATAGGTTACCAAAAGCCATCATTTATCCCCAACGGTTCGTTTCACAATAGTACTCATCGTTCAACCACCATTGTTCTGCAGCAGTCGATACTGCCTGATWACAGATATTAATTGTGCACAGTTAAGTATAGGTATTATTACAAGCTGTTCATGAAGCGWAGGTACCTATGTAAGCACAATGCAGCGACGCCTCTATTTAACGTACTTGACGGTTGCCTGAATAAAATTCGTTTTCATTCGACGAAATCAATGTAAATATTAATAGGTAGATAGGTATATGTAATATGTTTATGATTATTATTATTAACTTT